GTGTCAATCAGCGACTAAATAAACTTATTCAAGATCCAATTTTTACAAGTCATTTGACTTTTGTTAAATGGTTATCACATAATTTTATCGATCTAATTTCTTGTGATATGATACTAAATCGATTTTGTTTACAAATTTTACCTTCAATTCATCATAAAATTGAATGGCTTGATCTCGAATCATCATCTATGAATTATATTTTAGGTGCTGCCAATTATCCTAATTTACATACTCTTGGTCTATTTAATATTAATGAAGAGTCAGCTCGATGTCTTTTTACTGGTAAGATATTTGTTCTTATTCTAAAAATAAAACCGAAAAATCTATGAAACTTATCATATGAATATATTGATGTTATTTTCATACATTTTTTTTTATCTTACTAATATATTTAGATAAAAAGCTTTCATCTGATATTTTCAAAGATCAGATTAGAAGACTTTTTATTACAATTGATAATAATAACATAACAGAATTAACAATGATAAACATACTGAATTACATGTTGACTGTTTTCACTAATTTAATTTGTTTAACATTATATGAATCATCGTATAAAAATCGTGTTCTATTATGTTTTGATGATCCACCTCCTACTACTTTTCGTTGTTCAACTCTTTTGAAATTGAATATAAGAGTACAATGTTTTGAAGATTGTCTTTATCTTCTTGATGGTCGTTTTAATCAACTTCATACGCTCAATGTTGATGTGGTAGATGTTTATTATCACGATGAAATTCAAAATCAAGTTTGTGTAATAAGAAAAGCTTTTTATATTGTTAAATAATTTTTTTTAGGGTGATTTACCAAATCTAAAGTATTTTTCTCTGTCATCTGCGTACAAAACATATCATTATAATAAAACAATTCTTCCACTTCTCAATCGAATGTCAAATCTAGAGGAACTTGGTTTGTATCTTACAGTCTATGTTAATGAAACATTTATTGATGGAAATCATTTAAAGAAAAACATTATTAATCGAATGCCAAGATTAAATCAATTTAGATTTTCTATTAACTCAATTATGTGTATTAATAATCTAATATATTTTCCATCAACAGAAGATATTCAACAGACATTCATTGATTTTCCAAATGAAATTATTTCTTATGTTGAATATTTGTCAGAATTCCGAGAAGGTCGATGCCATATTTATTCATATCCATCTTTAATGTCATATTATGGTGATATAACAAATAATTTTCCAGGTGGATTATTTGAATATGTTCGTGCTGTGTCATTATGTGATGATGCTCCTTTTGAACATGAATTTTTTATTCAAATTCAAAAATCATTTCCATTTCTTGAACAACTATCTTTAATTAACCATAAATCACAAAATCGTAAACAATCTTATGAATTGAATAATGATAATCAAAATTTATCTCCTATTGAATATTTATTTTTGAATGAAATTAATCTTTTCAGTGCTCATGATGATTATGTAGAACAATTTCTATTAAATACTAGAACGTTTTTACCAAATAATGTTTCTCTTTATATTAATTATAAATCTTTAGAACGAGTAACACACAATTTTACAAGAGATGCTACACGAATTAATTCTACAAAAATAAATTATTTAAATTTACGTGCTCAAAATGAAAATTTCAATTTATCTTTAAAAGAATATTTTCTTCATGCAAAAATATTTTCTTCAATAATGTTCTGGATTCCAGAACAATAAAGTACAAGAAAATTTTTTTGTCTACTGTTGCAAGAAAATAAAATCTATGTAGCTTTGTGTAATAAGTGATAATCTGTCAAATAAAATAGTTTTGTTTGAATAAATATGTCAATAATCTATTAGGTTGGAAAGATAAATTCTCATTTTTTAGTAATAAAGAACGGACGATGTTTTGTAGAAATATCAGCTTAAACTTTCAACTTCAGCTAGATCGATCAATCCATTGTCTTACTTTGGTATTTGACTAGCTGGTCTCTCTCGTCACTATTAGAAATGAAAGTATTGTTCATTTTAAAAGGTTTTTTATACGGTTTCATTGTCAGTTTATATACCATTTGATAGAGAATTTAATTCTGAACAAAACTATATAAGTGAATTCAAGTGAAAAATGAAAAATTAATTAGAAAAAGTTCAGAATATTTCCAACCTACGGTTATAAAATAGACTGCCGAAATATTGTTCCTCTTCGTTCTCTACTATAACAAGCATAACTGGACCCATTTTTTCACTATTAATCATAATCATTTAGAGTACAAAATCTTTAATATTAATAATTGTCGTTTGTATTTCATAGAAATTACTTTCTTTTTTTTTCTTCAAGTAAGAACCAGAGTTGCCAACAGGCCACTTTTTTCCTGCCTGGCCTGACCTAGTCTGACTCAACCTGGCGTTCAGAGCGGGGTGGACTGTCTAGTTTCTTGGTCTGGTCTGGCCTGACCTGCAGGCCAAACCAGGCCAAGTGATATTTCTGATTTTCAAATCAATTAAATTTTATAACTCCAATAATATGAAAGTAGATAGAGCAGGAGAAGTGGATAAAATCTAAATATAATTAATCGACATTTTTGTTGCAATAGATGTGTCAAAAGAGGCCGATAAAATTTAAATATCATCATTTGACATTACTGATGAAATACATGAGGGAAAGAAGTTGATAAACGATTGACAATGTTCAGTTGACATTGTTTATTTAAATTGTTACCTGTACAAATAGTGGCGGCGCCATGGGGGGCTGAACCCCCTCAGAATCTGTTTGAGCCCCCCTCCCCAGATTTTTTTGAAAATCTTCACAAAGAATCTATAATCTTCTCTGATAATATTGCGACAAACTAATTTCCATGTTCTAGAAATTTCTCTCTAGTTTCCTACTGGTTAGTCACTGCAACTATACAAAATTCACTTCATCTAGTGTTGCCGAAATCACAATCGCTAGATATGCATTCTGAGTACGATCAACAAATAATGGGAACTGCTAATGCACGTAAAGAAGCCACTTTTTATGCGCACTTCATTTATTCGTTATAAATTATTTGCTCACATTAAAGTTTTAAGTCATCATTTGAAAAGCGAAACCTTTTCTTCTATGACTGCAAACGTTATTATGCTTATTTTTCTCAATATTCGTCCTTCGATTATGCACTTGGTGAGCAGCTTATGATATCAGTTATTCAACAAGTAAAAAGCCGTCGTAATTAGAAATCATTTGACAGAATTTATGATAAACTAAAAGAATTTTTTCTTTAAATAAAACTGATTTGGTATAAGAGTATTGATCTTCCCAGTGAAAAATATTTGCTTCAAAGAACGGGAAAGAACGCGTTCCGTGAAATTAAGATCTCTTTTTTTAAGAAAAGAAAACGTTCCAACAAAAATGGAAAGTGTTCTAAAGTGGAACCTCCAAGAACGCTTTCCGCATCCTTCAAGAATGGCTTTCTATGCTAAAGAAAGGTTTCCACTTTTTTGGAACGCATTCTTGATCTTTCCTACTGAAAATGATAGAAAATGGGTTCCACTATTCTATGAAAATGTTCTTAGCCATCCCCAAAAAAGAATACGTGCAAAGAAAAACGATTTCCACTTGCTCCAGTCCACTTCCTGTCGTAATCTGATCTCTGGACTTCTCAGGAGCTATTCCTTCTGTCTTCCATTGCGTCTTCTTTTTAATTAACTTTTTAAATGTGTACCTTATTATGGATTCGAACTCAGGATCTGGTGTTTGCGAGGCGAATATATTATCCACTACACTATTTCTACGGTTTGAATGTAGAACAAAAATAGCACTTATATTGAACGGAACAGTAGACAATATGTCTGCTAATTTTTATTTTTTAAAATCAAATGCTTGTTTTTAATAGAGCAGACAATTTATTGTGACTAGGATTTTCATTGTCTTCATGTGATAATAAGTTAGTATGGAAAAGTGTGAATATAAAGTTTTAATATTTTTATATTTAAAAAATATCTTTACTTTTAAATCAAACAGTAATTGAATTTGATTTTTCTTAATTTTATATTTTCCTTCAATTTATTTTTAGTTATTTCTTGATTTTAATTTCATCCAAATTAAAGTTTTATTTTTTTTATTTTTAGATATATGTGTACTTAAAAAATGAATTTATATGAAAAAATATTAGTACATGAAAACTGGCATTTTTTATTTTTCAAAACATTAAGATCAAGAATAAACTATAAATTATTTATTTATTTTTCAAAAAAAAACAAGGAAAAGGGGAAAGAAAAGAATTTATTATTTTCTTTTGATTGAATGCTTAATGGAAAGATACTTTTCAGACTATTTTAACTATCAGTTAAAGATCTGAGGCAAGCGCACGATTTTATATTTTCTGTTCATTGGTGAATCTCCTCATCAAATAAATATTTTCGGTTTGCTTCTGCTAACTTAATCTTTTTCTTTAATTTGCAAAAAAAAATTGTCGCGGATGTATTCTATTTTTCGAAGATCAATTCTTAATCCACGAGAAAGCATCAGATAATTTTGATCACAGCACAGAACGCGTTCTTTCCTTTGTAAGAATGATGTTTCGTTGTCTGGGAACGCGCCAGTACTTCGAAGAATCCATTCTTAGGTATCTCTTTACAGAAAGTCAAAGAATATTATCTTATTAGAAAAGAAATCTATCCTAACTGTTCTGAAAAAGAACGAAGGAGAACCCTTTCACTAGTTAGTGGAACGGTTCAGAAAGGTTTCTATCCGGAAAAGAACGATTTCAAACGAAGAAGAACGCATTTCATGATATAATGGAACGGCGAAGAATGCTTTCCTTCAGAAGTAGGACGTATTCTTGTCAACTTAGAACGCATCCTCGAAATTATAGAACGCTTTAATGGACGACAAGAACGCTTTTCATATTTTGACGAATGCATTCCCTTGCGTTATTTTCCAAAAAATTTTCACTGGGTTATCTTTCTATTGCAATATCTACTAGATTGCAAGCTTTTTTTCATAAATTTAACAGTTGGGAAACGTAAGACATTGTATCAACTGATTATCTTTACCGATTTTACCTTTCCTGATTGGGTATTCATTACTTTTATCCAAAGACAGCTACAGGAAAATATTCTCAAAATCTATCAAAATTAGTTCTCAGTATATTGTAGGGGTGTAATTTTGTATTTAGTTCTAGTTTAATTCATGCATAAATTAAATTAATACAGTTTCAAAATTACAAAAAAATTTTTTATATCGCATTGTCACCTAGGCAAACAAAAACGGTTATCATTGCGTTAAATTAGCGTTTTCAGCGTTTTAGAGCGTTTAATTATACAATACGCATCTTTAACACGTTTATCACCGTTTATTTTAGTGGCTATCTACTATTAGCTGTTTCAACGGTTCCACTTCGTTGCTACGAAATGGTAAATGTTTAAACGAACTTTATTCGTTTTTTTAATGCTATCTTTAGTTAATGATAAATTAATCGTTACTAATCTTTGCTCGGTTACCATAGATTTTTTTACACTATCCTTGTCCAAAACGTATCTGCCTAACTAACGAGGGAACATTCCCAGGTGTTGGAGCGATTTTTAGTCGGGACTTAGCGCATCTTGTAGGCCTTGATGAATTATGTCTACCGTAAAAAACGTTCGTGCCCCTAGCTTGTTCCTAGTGAGATATCGAGGTTTTAGTGAATTTTTCCTATAAGACCCCACGTTTGCAGCAAGGCCATATTTTTGAATTTTGATCTGAAACTTTGCCCACATAAACATCTCAGCTCGACTAGT